GACTGTGGGCAAACTCTGGAGGGCAGTTAGTCATTCTGTGAAGGACTAGAGCTAAGCTGGATTTTTGGAGCAATTCATTGCCCAACACAATTTACCCTCAAGTTAGGGAGCTTTCCTTGGAGCAGAGGATAGCCCAGGGAGAAACTCCTTCTGGTCCCTAGGGGCTAAATTAATAAGAAGAAAGTGATACTAACTCTCCTTACCTTTTTCTACCAGCCTCTTCTTCCCCTCTCCCCCACCCTCATCTGACACTTCCTAGTGTTTTAGCCCCGACTTCACCAGAGATGGAGGCAATGATAGAATGACCTCTACTGGCCTTTTCTAGCCATTAAGCTATGATGGGCTTAAGTCTGGGGATGAAGAGATCACCTACTTACAAAGTTCCATAGAGTGTTTGATTATCTTTGGAGGAGCTAACCAGCCCTGCCTTTCTCCTAGGGAGATGGTTTCATGAATGTCTTCCCCTTTCATACTACCCTTCTCTGCTCTGTATTTGTCTTATATGTACCTGGTGATTTATGTGTTGTCTCCCTCACTAATATATGAGTTCCTTGAGGGTGGGGATAAACTTTCTGCTTTTCTCTCTATCCCTAGCACATAGCACAGTGATTGGTACATAGGAAGTACTTAATAAACGCTTCTTGACTGACTGACTTTCCATAATGGGAGAGTAGGGCCCACAGCGGCTATTTCCTGGAGCTAAAACCTCCAGAAGTCATTTGGGCAATGTCCCAATCTCAGAGCAAGATGGAGCTTAACCTTCAGTGGCCAACTTTCTGAATAACCAATGCCAGAAGTAAGCCCCAAGCTCCATCACCTAAGCAAGGACTGTCACCATCCTCCCACTCCCTCCCCACCACAGAAATCCTTTCTGCCTGCCTTTCCAAGGGCGTCTCACTCTGTCCTTCTGGCTCTCTGGCTTTCTCTCCTAGCTCATCAAACAGGTCCAGCCTTCAGCAATACCGTGATGTCAACCAATTTTCTATATTGGGCTTTTTTTAAAAAAATTTACCATGGGGTTAGTTTTCTCATTTCACTGCTTAGTTCCTCTTGTAAGTCTGTTTATTCTGCTAAGAACAGTGACTTTTGGATTGGAAAGAGTTCCACAGGGAATGGCTAATTGGAAGCTGATGTTCAGGATAAGTAAGGAACTGGCCAGAGGGCCTAGGTGCTCTGGATGAGTCCAAGTCACTAGGCCCACATGAATTTCTGAGAGAGCAGGCAGGAGTGATTGCTGAATCAATGTCAGTGACATTTAAAGGACTGTGGAAAGCAGGAGAGACTCTACAGGATGGGAGAAAGGTAAATATTGTCCTACCTTGTTTTTAAAACTAAAAAGAGAAGAGAATGGATTCATAAGCTATACATTGGTGAGTCTGATGTTACCAAAGATAAAATAATGACATTACACTTTGAGGTTTGCAAAGCAGTTTATCTTATTTGATCTGTACAACAGCCCTTGAGGTAAGTGTAATTATTATCCCCAGGTAAGGAAACTGAGGTTTAGAGAAATAAAGTGATTTGCCTATTGTCATACAACGAGTTTCTGAGGCAGAATTTGAATTCAGGACTTCCTGATTCCAAATTTGCCAACCTACCCACTCTGCCACCTAGGAAAGCAAGGGGGCGAGCATGGGCTTATCAGCAAGAAGTTATGCCAGAATCATCTTGTTTCCTTGTGTAGATGAAGTTATTAAGTTGGGAGTTAGGAGAAGGCTGTGGATAGAGTCTACCAAGATTTCCTAGAGTAGCTCATTCTTGTAGAAAAGAGGGAAAGATACCACCTAGATGATGATACAATTGTGTAGATTCAAAGTGGTTCAATGGTTAGATTCAAAGTGTGGTCGTTAATGGCTGGATGTCAACTCAGAAGGAAGTCTCTGGTAGAGTGCCCCAGGGATCTGTGCTGGGTACTCTGCAGCTAACTTTTTATTAGTCACTTGATCAAAGGCACAATCAGCATGCTCGTTTAATCCACAGATGACACAGAGCTTGGAGGGACAGCTAACCCACTGGAGGTCAGGATCCAGAATGTTATTGAGAGGTGAAAGCGTTGGGCTGAATTGGATAAAATGAAATTTTAAAATGAGAAGGCCTGGATTTGGGATTTGATAGACATGGGGACCTCTCAGATGGGGAAGCTTCTTTCATGCATCTTCCCTGTCACCTGGAGAGTTACCCAGCATACTTCAAGGTCCAGCAACTTGTATGTGGGAGACAGGCCTTGAATCCAGGGCTCCTGGGCTCTGAGGCCAACTCTCTATCTGCTTGTCATGTTGCCTCTGAGATGAAATTTGATTAAGGGGAATGTGACAATTTACATTTTAGCTCAAGAAATGGTGGCAGGAGAAGCTTCTTAAATGTTTTGAGCTGTCCAGCAGTGGAACAGCCTTCTTTGGGACTTGTAGGCTTCCTCTCACCAGAGGTCTTCAAACCAGGGCTGGACAATCACTTGGTGGGTGTTTCGTAGGGAGGTCTCTTGTAAGGGTGTGGAATAGCTAAAGTCCCTTTCAACTCTAACATTCTGTGATTCTATTATAGTTTCCAAAGCTAAAACCAAAGACTTTTGTAAAATGCATTTTATTTTCTTGAAATCAGGACTGCCCTGGAGAAAAAAAAAATCTCTGATGGATAATCACTATACCTACAGGGCAGCCCAGGCCCCTTGAGGGCAGTCACTTGGCCAGATTTGACTCCCTATCTCATCAGTCCATGATAGCTCTCAGCTTCTGGTCTCTGGTCACGGATTTGCTTTTGCTTCAGGCCTGAAGAAATTCACCTTGAGTCTTTTCCCAGTTCCTGGCTGGAAAGCGGATCTCCCCTAATTGCAGTGCACTGTCCTAGAGCTGCTCCCCCACAGTTATCCCTTCCATCTATCCCTGTCATCTTATTTCTGTCCCTTTCACCCTGGGTGTCGCCCTTGCAATATCGCCCCCTCCCACAACTTCCAGTCTCAAATCTGCCTCCAGAGGCAGTGAGGTGCCCAGATGAAGAGGGCACTAGGCCCAAAGTCAGGAAGATCTGATTTCAAATCCAGCCTCAGACACTTACTACCACTACAAACCTGGGCAAGTCACCTAACCTCCGTCTGCCTCAGTTTCTGTAAAATGGGAATCATAATAGCACCTACCCCTCAGGGTTGTTTTAAAGATTAAGTAAGAAAATATTTGTGAAGTGCTTGGTATAACAGATGCTTAATAAATGCTTATTTTCCCCTTCCTATTCCTTATCTATCAAGGAAATGGGCCCAATTTTGACTATGCCATTCCCTTGAGTGACTGCCCGTTTCCTAGACCCCATACAGACTCCTCAGCCTGGCCTTTCAAACCATCCAAGGTCAACCTCAAGGCTACTTTTCTTTCTTTTCTTTTTTTTAGGCAGTTGGAGTTAAGTGACTTGCCCAAGGTCACACAGCTAGTAAGTGTCAAGTATTTGGTCTGAGGCCAGATTTGAACTCAGGTCGTCCTGACTTCAGGGCCAGTGCTCTACCCACTGTGCCACCTAGCTGCCCCAAAAGGCCACTTTTCTAACGGGATCCCCTTCATGTCCTCTGTTCCAGACAAACTCTCCTGGGGACTGTTTTCTGATTTCTTCCTGCCCATCCCTAGCTGTCAAAAGCCTTCCTTGCCTTAAAAGCCCATCTTAGGGGTCTCCTCCATCCCTGCTTCTCAAATTTCCCCTGGAACTCTCAGTGGAGTCTTCTCTTGTCCTCACGCATTCTGTCTCATATCTTAGTTGTCCTCGTAAGTCTTATCTCCTCTATTGGATTGCAAACTCCTTGAGCGCAGGGACGGTGAATTTCTTTTAATCCTTTTATTCCTAGTTCCCATCTCAAATCCTCGCACATAGTAGGTGTTTAATAAATGGTGGCTGGACCGAATTGGATGGCTGAGATGACCTGGTGTAGAAGCTCAGCCCCAGAGTTGCCCTGTCTTGCAAAGCTGCAGCCATAGGCCTCTCTGTTCACATTCAGGTCAAACCCCTTTCCCCACTCCTCCCCCTCTTCCTTGGCTTGAGCTGGCTTTTCAGAATTGATTTCCTTCAAGGAAAAACTTTCAAGCAGTCAGGAGCTGACCTAGGTCACAACCACCATCTCTCTTTGATTATTAATAGAAGGTTTCCATTCTTGCCCACTCTGGTTCCAAACAGTGCTCAGGACAGGTGGGGAGCCTGGCACCCCTGGGTTCTCTTGGCCCCCTCCTTCATGAGAATGCGGTCTTCCCTGCACCCCCTCACAAGCAGCTACGGCATCATACGAGCACAGATTTGGAGATGGGAGGGATCTCAGAAGCCTTCTAATGCTTTCCCATCAAGGGCTGTCTTTTGCCTGTCTTTGCATCCCTGGCACTCAGCACACTGCCAGGTAGGCAGTAGACAAAGAATAAAATGATCGCTGATGCTCTGACCTGCCCTATCTACCCAGGGGAGCACATCCCTGGTGACTTCTCCACTTCTACCTCTCCTCCTCCTTGATGGGGCCAAGCTCCCAGAAAACAGATGAGCAAGGTAGAGCATGAAAAGCTTTGGATTCAGAGTCCAAAGACCTGGGTTCAAATCCTGACTGCCACTTATTATCTGAATCACCTTGGGCAAGTCTGTGGGCCTCAGTTTCCTCATATGCAAAAGGAAGAGGTTGGACTAAATAAATGGCCTCCAAGATGTTTTGTGAGCTTGAAATCTATGATCCTCGGTTCTAGTTGCTTTGAAAAATCTTTTACTTGACAAGTCACTTTATTCTCAAAAGGTGTACCCATCTTATACATGAAGAAACTGAGGTTCGGAGATTAAATGATTTTCCTGTAGCCACATGACAAAAGTAGAGATTCTAAACTAATTTTCCTAGTTCATAGAATCTCAGTTTTGGATGAGACCTCAGGGGCCTTTTGGCCCTACCCGTTTTCCAGTCTGAGATTCAGATGATCAGATGCCCAAGGAATCCCACAGTCCGATTACCCTAGTGGGGCTAGGGCAAGGCAGAGGAGAGGAGACAACCACCTTACCTTCTCCAGGGATCCTTGGGTCCATCCTCAGCCTGGTGGGGAGGAATCAGAGGCAAGGGAAAGGGGACCCCAGCCTCCTGCTTCCCAGTTCTGGGAGGGCTGGGGCTTCTGGGGGGGTAGGGGCTGGGGCCATAGTCCCCCTGTGGGTAGCCCCCATGGTGCCTGGGATCTGCAGCCCAGGCTGCCAGTGCTCCACTCCCAAGGAGCCCCCAGAGGCACAAGAGGAGTGGCCCCATCACTGTCTTGTTCCTTGCTGTGAAGCACCTGCCTTCAGGCTCTGGGTTCTCAAAGCCTTCACGTTAAACCTCTGAAGAAGAAAAAAAAAACCTGAATTCTTGCAACAAAGGGAGGAAGAGGCTGTCCCTGGCCCAGCAGCCTGGAAATGTCAGAGGCCACCTAACAATGCCTGCGGAGTTCCTGTGAAGAGGTTCAGAGGGGCAGTGTGGGGGGTTGGGAAGTAGGGAGAGGGAGGAAGAGAGCAGCCCTGGACTTGGGTCACAGTTTATTCAGAGCTGCCTCTGTCCCTGGATGGGCCCTTTTAGACTTATCTGTCAACAGGAACTGGGGCTCTGGCCCCCTTCTCCCTAGGAGACAGGAAGAGGATGTTAGCATTACAGTGGCTTCTTGAGGCACCTCTGGAGCTGTCACTTCCCAGAGAGGGGATCTGGGCCTGGGATCGGAGGAGACCTGCAAGGAGGCACGGGACATCTGCAGGGAGAGGACCTGGGTTCAAATCCCTGTCATGCTGAGCAAAACTTCTGGGACCGGTGGGGGGTGGGGAATGTCATAGATGGAGATGGTGAATAGACTGGTTTGACTGGAATGTAGGATGTGTGAGCCTGGAAAATAGCCTGAAGCCAGATAGGGAAGGACCTTCAATGTCTAATGGAAAGGTTGTGTTTGACCTTAGAGTCAAGAGGGAACAGCAGAAACTTCTTGAACAGGGTGTGATACGGTTCGATTTGTGCTTTGAGAATATCAGTTCATTGCACATGTATGTATAATAACCATGTCAAGGAGGGGAGAGGGGAGGGAGAAAATTTAGAACTCAAAAATTTTTTAAAAGAATGTTAAAAATTTTTGCATGCAAGTGGAAAAAATAAAATATTCTTGAATATTTTTTATAAAAAGAGTATTACCAGATTGGCTAAAATGATAGAAGGGGAGAGTGACAAATGTTGGAAGGGATGTGGAAAAATTGGGACACTAATTCATTGTTGGTGGAATTGTGAACTGATCCAATCTCCATTTTGGAGAGCCATCTGGAATTATGCCCAAAGAGTTAGTAAACTGCCTATAGCCTCTGACCACTACTTGGTCTATTTCCAAAGAAAATTAGGGAAAAAGGAAAAGAACCTGTATGTTCTAAGACGTTTAAAGCAGCTCTCTTTGTGGCAGTAAAGAACTGGAAATTGTGGAGATGCCCATCAATTGGGGAATGACTGGACAAGTTGTGGTATATAATTGTGATGGAATGCTATTGAAATATAAGAAATGATGAGCTCAATGATCTCAGAAAAACATGGAGAGACTTCCACAAAATAATGAAGAGCAAAATGAGCAGAACCAAGAGAACATTGTATATAGTAACAGCAATGTTGTTTTAAGAACAACTTTGAATAAGTCATTTTGACTATTATAAATACTCAAATTAGCTATAAATGACATATGAAGAAAGATGCTATCTGTATCCAGAGAAAGAATTGATAAATAGAAGTATGTATAGAATAATTTTACACACACACACACACACACACACACACACACACACACCTATTTGTGTCTAATGGTAGCCATCTCTAGTGGGGGTGAGGAACGGTAAGGGAAGGGAAAAAAAGGAATTTACATGACAATTTTTTTGTATATTTGAAAGGAATAAGGGCAGCTAGGTGGCACAGTGAATAGAGCACTGGCCCTGGAGTCAGGAGGACCTGAGTTCAAATTTGGCCTCAGACGGCTACTAGCTGTGTGACCCTGGGCAATTCACTTAACTCTGATTGCCTTGCAACAAAAAAAGAAAGAAAGGAATAGCAAATTGTGCATAGTAAATTTTCAGTTTCATGTGCATTCATCTTTTTTTTTTATTGTACTTTGTTGTGGAAATGCTCGCTTTATTCCAGAAAAATAAAATTTAAATAGGAAAAGAATATCAGTTTGGCAGCTGTGAGGATGGATTGAAATAGAGAGAGATGAGACAGGGAGACCAGTTAGGGGGCTATTGTAATAGTCCAGGAGACTGGGGAGGGGGGAGGATAGGATAGGGGAGAAAATTGAAAATTCGAAAGCTTATGGAAGTGAATGTTGAAAACTAAAAATAAATAAATTAATTTAAAAATAAAAAAAATAGTCCAGGATAGAGGAGAATGAGGGCCTAACCCAGGGAGGTAGCTTTGTGAGTGGAGACAACGGAATTTTTAGAAGAGGTCATGTTGATAGAATCGTTAGTATTTAGCAATAGATTGGATATGTAGAATGAGGGAGACTGAGGAGTAGAAGATAACTCTAAGGTGGCTAACAGGGGTGACTGCAAAGATGGTGGTGCCCTCAACAGAGACAGAGAAATTCTAGACAGGTGGAGTATAGGGGGAGGCTAATGAGTTCTGTTTTGGAGATGTTGAGTTTGAGATGCCTACAGGACATCCGTGTACAGATATCCAACAGGCATTTGGCAGTGTGGGACTGGAGCTAAGGAGAGAGATGAGGGTTTGGACATGTAGATCTGGGAATCATCTTCTTAGCAATAATAGCTGAATCGATGAGATTGGAGAGAGGGGAGAAGAAGGTCCAATTTAGATCTAGGTGCATCCATTCTTTTTTTTTGTGGCAATTGGGGTTAAGTGACTTGCCCAGGGTCACATAGCTAGTAAGTGTCAAGTGTTTGGTTTGAGGCCAGATTTGAACTCAGGTCCTCCTGACTTCAGGGCCAGTGCTCTATCCACTGCACTACCTAGCAGCCCCTAAGGGTGCATCCATTCTTAGAGCGAAGGGTTGTTTTCCTGGCCCTGAGTAGTATTCATGACCAGGGGATGCCATCAGCCTTGGTGGTGGAAGGGTCCTCCTCTCCAATATCATCCTTGTACATACACCTGAGCCTTATGTCTCTGAGACCCCCTGAACATCAATCTAAAGACTGAATGACAGACAGAATTTGCTAGCTTGGATGAGGTGTGGTGGGTACAATGGATGAAGGACAAGTCAATCTGGCTTTTGCCCAAGCTTTTTGCTCGGACTCACTGTGGACATCCTCCTTGGACATCGACACATTCCCTCGAGCCTCTGGGTCATCCAATCCCACAGACAGGAGGTAATAAGTCATTGATCGATGCCCAAGAGAGTCATTGGAGAAAGTATGTGTGTGCACCTGTGTTTGGGAAGGGCGAGGTTGAAGAGGGGAGATTGGGCATAGAATATCACTAGAGGTTTTCAGATATTTTTGGATAACCATTTGTCAGGGATTCTTTAGAGAGCATTTTGACTCGGGGACAGGTTGGGCCGAATGACCCTAAGGTCCCCTCCAGTGCCAAGATTCTAGGAGTCTATGAGAGCAGATGCTCAAGGACAAGGTCAGTTTTACTTAGGCTTTTGAGATGGATCAAAACAGAGCTGAGCCCTGGGAACGAATGAAGGATGGAGTCTGGGATTCTCTTGGGAGTGGAAACAGAATCCTTGGAGATCTGGGGTAGAGGAGGAAGCATGGGGTCCTCTCAGCTGCAGTAAATTGCCCTGGGTCAACCCCTCCATCTTTCATGATCCTCTAGTGCTAACGGCAGGGCCGGGGTGTGTGTGGGGGAAGCACCAAAGAGTGGGATCCAGAAAACAGGAAAAGTGAAGCTAAGAGCGGGCTAACTTGAGGCAGGGTCCTCAGAGAGACCAGGCCAGCTCCCCCCAGCCTCAGCCTGCCCAATACTCCCCGAGAATCTCAGGACGCCCATTCTCCTTCCAGGAGTAGCTTGCCCTTGGAGGAGATAATGAGAGCACTGCAGCTTCCAGAGCCTGGCGGGGAGCCAGCCGCGCTCCTTTCTTCTCATCTCCGCTCCGCTCCCCACCCGGCCAGGCTGGAGCATTAATATTTCAGCAGCGCCTGGCTGCTGGCATTGGCTCCACCGCAGTGCACTTTGTCAATAAGACAGCCAGGCAGCGAGGGAGCTAACCGGCCACCCGCAGGGGAACCGACCACAGCAGCGGCGGCGGCGGCAAGCGCACTCGCTCAAGCTGCCTTGAGCGGAGGGCTCCAGTGTTCGAGGCTCTGTCCGACTGTTTGGCACCCCACCCCGGGAGCTCACTGCGCTCTCTGCCACCATGGATGTCTTCAAGAAAGGTTTCTCCATTGCTAAGGAGGGCGTGGTGGGGGCTGTGGAGAAGACCAAGCAGGGAGTCACTGAGGCCGCTGAGAAGACCAAGGAGGGGGTGATGTATGTGGGTAAGTTGGGAGCCAGGGGGATGGAGTAACGCGGGGCGGGGAGGGGAGCTCCACCTCCCAGCCTTGGTGTTGGGGGAGCCCAGACAGAGTGGAAGGCCTGGGGAGACCCCCTCCCCAGTTCTGGCTGGGCTCCAGATGTGGTGCCCACTGGACTCTTCTCATCATCACCCCGGGGTTCTGGGTGGGGGGCAGTTCCATAGCTGCTGGCGGTCATCCGCAGCTCTGTCCCCATAAGGCCAAATGACCGCTTCAGCTATCCGTGCCCAGGCTCAGTTGTGTGGGCTCTCTTGCCCTTGAAAAAGACCCCTGCTGCAGTGTAATTAATAAGCGAGGGTGGTGCGGATGCTGCCTGACCTATGACCTCACTCATCTGGAAGCCTGTGACTTTCTGGGATGAGAGTGGTCCTTCCCTGGGCCACCATGGTTAGGGCTCATTTTCCTGTCTCCCTCCCCCAACCAAACTTTTGCTACCATCAAGGCTTCTGTGCCCTGTTTGGATTTCTCTGCAGGGCAGACATTCCGTGGGGAAGTTACAGATAAACTGGGTCAGGTTTGAGAGGGAAGGGGATGTGTGCAGGCTACAGAGAGCTCAGGAGAAAACTGGGCTTTCTGCCATCAGGACCACGCCCTAGAGCCGCTCAGGCTGCTGGATTCTCCCTGAATGGAGACTGATGGATGCACAAGTTGCCCGTTGCTCAAATGACTGGAGCCCCCAGCAAACACTGCACCAGTCACAAACATGCATGATGTTTCTGCTTATGTGTGGGGTCCACACCTGTACTGGGAAGATGCTGGGAGTGGGGACTGTTGTGATGCACAGTCTGATAGATGCTGCCCAGTGATGGAGAGTCCTTGCAAAACTCCCTCCCCCAGGTGAGGTTTATGTCTGCCCTGGCCTTAGCTTTGCTGTCTGGACTCCTTTGCTTTGAGATTCAATGGTGGGAGGAGAGGGAAATGGGGGCCCCCAGGCTTAAAGAGGCCATATAAGGGAAAAAAGTCTTGAACTTGGAGTTAAAAGACCTATGGGTCCAAATCCCAGTTATGGGGCCACAGAGCCTCAGTTTCCTCACCTGTAAAATAGAGATATTGATGCTTATACTCTCTTCCTCACTGGCCCGTTGTTATTATAATCATTACCACTTCTGGTGTCTGGGCCTTTTCCTTTGAGACACTTCCTAGGGGCAGTGATTTGCTCCCTTTGTGCTTAGCTTTGTCTGGAGGAATAAAGCATTGCTGTGGCCTAGCGGACTGGCCTGTGACTCAGGGGGCCTCTAAGGACTCAGACAAATGCAGACATGTGCAGACTGCCCCGGGTTCCTCCCCCATTTCCTGGCTCACACCAGGCACCTGCTGCTTCCCCAGGGAAGGCAAGCCCGGCTCTCAGATCACTTTGGGGCTCACCTGCAGCTTTGGGGTCTGGGGGAGGTGGAGGAGGGAGGGAATGGTCAGGAATGGTCAGAGCTGGAGACTGAGAAGAGGGTGGGGACGGAAGTGCTGCCACTAATTCCACCATCCCCACCATCCCCCTCCCTCTTAATTATCCTAATTCCAAGGTGTCTCCATCCAGCCTGCCACAGAAATCTCAGCTTCAGAGGGCTCTGAAATGAAAGCTGACTTTATGACTCAGCTCTTCCTCTATTCTCTAATCCTGTTTAGCACAGAGGTCTTCAGGAGCCGATTTCTTTGTTTCGACTCTATCTAGAGTTCATTGAGTCCCGGACCCTACTTCAAGCCATATTATCAGGCAATATCTGGAAGATCACAAGTCAGAGATAGATTCATAGATTCAGACTGTGAGACCTGGTAAGGGACCTTAGGCCAACTGCCCCCTGCCCTAAGAAACTGAGAATCAGAATGGCTAAGTGACCTTCCCAGAGCTGTCCAGCTTGTGAATGGGACCTGAACCCAGGTCTTCGGGCTCCAAGGCTAGTGGACTCTCCACTGTGCCACATTATGATACTCTATGATGGCTCTAGGTAGGAGGAAGGAGAAGGCAGGGATGCTCCTGAGCTCAGGGGACCAGACAGTGACAGTCCTTCCAGCTCTCTGTAACAGGTCCCAAGCTGAGAAAGAGTCTAGACAGAGCCCAGGACTAGGGTGAGAGCATTTCAAGGGATGGATCATGGAGGGGGTGACATGAGATTCTTGGGGGGGTATCCAGCTTGTCTTGGGGAGGATGGCCTGGAGGAAGTTGTGCCCTCCTCCTCTGTGTTCAGACTCTTCCATCCTGTCCAGTCTTGTGCTATTGGGCTCCTCCAGACATGGAAGGAAAGAGCCCTTTGATGTAGGCCGGACTTCTCTTAATGAATATATAAGAATATGCATTGAAGGAGGCAAGTGTCTGTCACCTTATAACCCATCATTTTCCCAAGACCCAAGAGAAAAAATAATCTTGGTCATTCCCTCTGTGAATGACCTCTGGGGGGCCAGGCTTGGGATGGAAGGGATGTTCCCTCTGTATCTCCTCCATCTCTTCTCATTATCCCTTCCTTTCTATCTCTGTCACCCTGTCCATTGTCCCCCGTCCCCTCCCACCATCGCCTCTTCATGTCCTGGCCTTCTACCCTTCCGTCTTCTGTCTCCCAATTTCTCCCTCTGTCCACACTCTACTTTCGTTTTCTGTTTCTCTTCTCCATATACTGTTCCCCCATGTGTTTGTCTTTTTCTTATTTTTCCATTCTCTGTCCATCATCTACCTTTCCATTATTAGTTCCTCCATCCCACTGATTCTTCACCCTTCTTCCCCTTACCTCTCTGCCCCTTTCCACTCTTCTGTCACCGTTCATCTCTCCATCTTCCATTTTCCTATCCCTATCCCTCTAACCTCTGCCCTGCATCACCATCTTTCCTTTTTCCACCTCTGTCTCCTTGGGTCTTGCCTTCCCCTTACTGCCTAAACCTGAATAAGAAGTTCACCCTTTAGGTCAGAAGGCCCTCCATTCTCCTGTATTATGTTCTCCTTCCCTATCCTGTGGACACAGAAGATACCCTAAGGCAGCGAGAGCCAAGGGCTCATAGCACTGCTGAGCTGTTCTGGGAACTGACCTGGGCTTTGCTTCTTTCACAGGGACTAAAACTAAAGAGGGTGTGGTGCAGAGTGTGACCTCAGGTAAGGAGCTGGGACTCCCTGGGACTCCAGGCGTTGAGAGATCCTGGGACTCTTTCTACAAAGCTGCCTCCTTAGAATCAAAATTCCCCAGAATCCCCCAGATATCAGGTCCCAAAAGGAGGATTCCGACTGGTCTTTCTGCCCTGGAACACTCTCCTCCCCTTCATGTTCACTATCATTTTGGCCTAACTAGGACCTCAGGCCTGGGGGATTTTATTGGCATTTGAAGGCCAATGCTCCTGAGACCCTCTCCTTAAAAACCAACCCTGTGGTCTAGGTGTATATGTGAGGCACAGCCCCATTTGTGTGGACTCTTCCTCCACAAAGGGAGTGGAAAGTGCTGAAGAGCGCTCTCTCTCTCTCTCTCTCTCTCTCTCTCTCTCTCTCTCTCTCTCTCTCTCTCTCTCTCTCTCCTCTTTCTTTCTCTCTCTCCTTTCTCTCTTCTCTGTTTCTCTGTCTGTCTGTCTCTCTCTGTCTCTGTCTGTCTCTCTCTCCTTGGCCCCACCTCATCTGGGCCCCTTACTCTCCTGAATACCTTGTGGGGGGTACCCTGAGCCATTAGAGCCATGCTCAGGGGAAAGGAAGTGCAAATGGGTGGAGAAAAATTGTATTTGAGAATCTGAATCCTGGAATCTCCCTCTCTGCCTTCATCCCTGGGAGATTGAGCACATAATTCAGTGTCCAAGTGACCATACCAAGGCCTACTAACTGTACAGTGAGGAGGGACCCTTGGGGAACACAGAACAACCTCACCTCAAAGAAGGGATGGGTCAGGAAGGAAAAAAAAATGAAGCCAGAGGGGAAAAAAATGTTCTCTGTTCTCCCCCAACAAGTTGCGGAAAAGACCAAAGAACAGGCCAACATGGTAAGCGATGCCATGGTAGCCAGTGTGAACACCGTGGCCAGCAAGACAGTGGAGGAGGCTGAAAATATTGTGGTGACCACTGGCATCGTTCGGAAGGTGAGTTGTCCCTGCTCAACATTCCAGGGAAATCATCAGTCCCTGAGGCTCCCAGCAGACTCCAAGGGGTTCTGGCCAGAGGCTGGGTATGGCTACATCTTGTATGGAGCTCAGAAATGATGGAAATAACCTCCATCTCTCCAGTGCTCTAAGGTTACAAAGTACTTCTCTTCACAACAGCCCTGCCAAGTAGGTAATAATATAAGGATGCTTTATCCCCATTTTACAGGTGAGCAAACTGAGCTTCAGAGAGGTAAGTAGCTTTGCCTACAGTCATATGGCTGAACAGTTCAGGGTTCCTTGGACTAGGACCACATTTGCCTTTTTTTTTCCCCCAAAGCTCTTTCCAAACCATTAGTTCCAACCCTGGCTCTGCCACAGACTGCCTGTGTCCCTTTGAGCCTCACAGCTGACCTGCTTAGGAGCATGGATAGAGATTATTAACCTCCTTGCGCTTCTGGGGAAATCGAGGCAGTTTGTCAGTTTCAGAGGCAGGACCAAAACCCAGGTCTACTAACTCTCAGTCATAGGATCATATAAGTTTAGAGGTGGAAGGGACGTCAGAGGTCATTGACTCCAACCTCCTTATTTAACATTTGAGGAAACTGAGGCCCAGAGACATTAAATGGTAACACAATTAGTGAGTGTCAGAGTCTAGATTGGTAGCCTGTGAAACAGTGGGTTAACTCCTAATCCTTAAGAGCAGAGATCACTATGTTCATTAAGCTATAAAAATAAAAACTTGGGAAGAATTTTTCATAGAAAGTTGGAGTCAGTAGGGACCTTTTGCAGCAGGAATCTTTTCTACAATATCCCCAACAAGTGGTTACCTCACTTGAAGACTTCTAGGGATGGGGAACCCCTCCCCCAGAACATCTTCTTCTTTAGGCTAGCCATTTCAGTTTCATTCAGCTAGTGTCCCAGTGGGTCATCTCCTCATCCTGGTCATCTTTCTCTGAAAGGCTCCAGCTCACCAACATCCCTTCAAAAAGGTGGCGTTCAAGACTGAATACAGGGACAAATACTCTAGGGCTCTTTCTTCCCTCCTCCTGGACACCGTGCTTGTGCAATATACCCGAAGATTTCATTAGGGAGGAGTTTGTTATTGGGGATAGCTTGCTGGGCTTGGAGTCAGAAGACTGGGGCTGGGATGGGGCTGACACAAAAGCCTAGGTCTTGTGACTGACCCCCCACCCACACCCATCCTACTACACTAGGCTGCTGTTTGGATCCCATGCACTAGGCTGTGTGAGTCTGGGGAAGTCCTAAACAATCTGAACCTCGGTTTCTTCATCTGTAAAGTAGGGATAACTACCCATAGTTCTTACTTCCCAGAATTCTGAGGCACAAAGGAAATAATGTAGGAATGGTTCTTTGCAAATTTTAAAGAGTTATGTAAATGTCGATGATTGGTGTTTGCACTCAGGTGGGCTCCAGTCGGCTGTACCTTCAATGCCTTTTGTTTCTCCCATCATAGTGCCTAAATTTGCTACAAACCCAGATGAGTAGGTGGCTGGAGTAAGGGAGGACCCCTGGGCTGGCAATCTGGGGCTGCATGGGACTGGTGAGGGAGTCTGGAGTGCAGGAGAGAGCTCTTTCTCCACAGGTTCCCTCAGCTGTGTTCCTGAGCCTTGTGATGCCACCAGGGACACTGAGAATGTTTCATTCCAGGGTATCAGTGCCCTAGTTACAGATGCAGACGCTGCTGCCCAAGGGAAACCCTCCTGCTGTCTTGTCCTCGACGAGGGATACTGGCAGGCTAATAGCGAGTCTCAGATGGGGAATCAGGGCCAAGAGATTGGACTAGCAAACTGCAGAGGAGATGTCTAGCTTGGGACACCCTTTAAATGAGTGGATAAGCACTGATATTTGCCAGAAGACATAACCCTAGGCTGGAAGTCAGGAGGTCAGGGTCTTCCATTGACATACGTTGGGCCAGCAATGGGGCCATCTACCCCAACAAATAAGAATGATAGTGACTCAAGCTTCCATACGACTTTAGGGTTTGCAAAGCACTTTAGAAATATTATTTCAATTGATCCATACAACAACCCTGGGAGGCAGGTACTATTATTAGCTCCACCAGAGGGGTGAAATAACTTATCTCATGGCCAGTAAGCATCCGAAGCAGGATTGGAACTCAGCTTCAAATCCAACACTATTCATCGTGTTGCTTCGTTGGCCAGTTCATTTGCATTACATTTTCTGTAGTTGTCCTAGGTCCTCCTAAGGGTTGTTCCTCACTTTCCTTAGTTTCCTTATCTGGAAAATGGGCCTGATGCCAGGACAATCAGTACGAGGATCCCAGATACATATACCAAAATACCAAGACATGAAGTAGAAAGTTCAGGACTTGAAAGAATAAAACGTTATAGTTTTATAGAACCAACGATTCCGAGGGGCCATTTCCTGCCCTTGATTCACACATCTCCATATTCACCCCTCCATAGATAGCAATACTGTCTGGAGCCAACTAATCCTAATCTTCCCCCACCCCCACTCCTTCCTGCAATTTTAGGGAGAAGACATTAGACTTGATGTCAGGGAAGCTTGCTGAAAACCATAGGTGTCCCAACATGGCATGAGTTGCCCTGGTGCATTGGCCGTTACTAGACATCTTCACAAGCTGGGTGCCCATTTCTCAGGGACATTACAGAGGGCTCGCCAGAGGAGGGCTGGTCTGAGGAGGGCTCTGAAGTCCATCTGTGGTTCTACAGTTCTAATGGGTGCAGAAACACTGGGCTGGCTGCTTAGGGGAGATATGAACTGGGGAGATTCCATTCAGTTCAATTCCATTTGCATAATAAGTGGATGCCTGTGAAATGGGAGGCTGGGGATTGTCTCTGTCCTGGAGATAGTGTGCCTCTCTCCTTCTCTTCCTTGTCTTCCTCTTTTCATATCTCCCTCCCTCCCTCTCTTATTGCTTCTGTCCCACCCTTTCTCCTTCTCTGCTTTCTTTCCTCTCTTTATCTATTATCCCTCCTCCTCTCTCTGCCCCTCTGTCTTCCTTTCTTCCTCTCCCCCTCTGTCTCTGTCTCTTCCTGCCTTCCTTCTTCCCTCTAGCCCTTCCTTTCCGTCTCCCCTTTTCCTTCCCCCTCATCCTGTTCCCCACCCTCCCTCTCCCTTATTCTTTGTCATGCTTCCACACTCACTCCCTGCCCCCATTCCTCTGCCTGTTTAACCCCTCTGGGCTCCTGCCCTAACGCCTCCAACCGGCTGCACCTTTTGTTTTCCTAGGAGGATTTGGTACATCCATCTCCAGCTGAGCATGGGGCCCCAGAAGACCAGCCAGCAGAAGCTACTGAAGAGGTAAAGGGTTCCAACGCTTCCCTCCCTGTCTTCTCAGGGCTCTACAGGTTTTCTGTCTGTTCTCCAGGATTTTCCAACTGTCAGCCTCTTGGACTTGGGGAAAACTTATTTAGAGACAGCAGAATATGGAGAACTTTCCTCCTATGGGTCTTACCCCCCCCCATCTTTCCTAGGTTCATTCTCCTGTTGCACGTTCCCTTAGGCCTAGAGCATCTTTCTCTAGAAGGAATTTCTACTATTGTTGTTCAGTCGTTTTTCAATCGCATCCTATTCTTTGTGGCCCCATTTGGGTTTTTTCTGGCAAAGATATTGAAGTGGTTGGCCATTTCCTTCTCCAGTTCAGAGACTGATTCTAAACCTGGTCACAAACTGACCTCTGACCCTTGCCTCAGACTGCAGCCCAGTGCTAGCCGTAGAGCAACTCCTAATCTTGTCAGCTAACTCTGAAACAATATATACCCAGAGTCACAAGAGGGAATGGGTAAGTGGGCTGCTTTGGGCTCATCCCCACTGCAGGAGGCATGACTCAGGGAGAGTGTCCTACCAATGACAGGCCTGACTCCCTGCCATGTTTGTATAGGAAGTATATAGCTTGGTATTATGTTTGGGGGCAGTGAGAGTGGGGCAGGTTATTATAGTTTGTGTGTGTGTGTTTACTCTGTGCCTCATTTGTCTCTCCTTGAGGTTGAGGGCAGCAGAGACTAGCTGGGGAACCATCGTTGAGCCAGGCCAAGGATTGTGGAGCCAGTAGCTGACACTAACCTTCTCCCTGTCACCTGAACAAGATGGCTTCTTGGACCCAGCTCCCTCCCTTCTTCCCTGTTCCTGACTGGATGAACACATCATGCTACATGTGAATATCAGGTTCTAGAGCATATGTGTTGAGTAGCCGTGTGCTGGGTATCTTCCTTCTACTCCTACCTGTAGCTTAAGTCTCCCCCACATTAGTCCATCTGTCCATCTATCTGAGCATCCTTGTTGCTGCTTCTTCCCTTCCTCCCTCCTTGTTTCCCTCTGTTCATTTGGACTCCATAGATGTTGGGTATGCTTTATGTATTTATTTATTTACAAGTGATACCAAAATAAAACTGTATTTGAACCATGTTTCCCAGCTGGCTCTCCAGTTCATCCCTTTGAAAAAAGCACAACTACCCCTAGATAGCATCAGGTGAAGGAGGAAGGGGCTCCTGCGTTGATGAGGAATCTGGTTCTGGCTGTCCCTTCCCAGACTGGCTTAGAGCCTAGGCCACAAAACTGATCCTGGCCTCTAACCTGGCCACAGACTCATCTTTAATAAGGTTAGTGCTGGTGTGTGGGAGGGGAAGATGGGCCTGGGAGACAGAGACAGAACAGGAGGTGATAATCATTTGCATTTATATTGTCTCAAGGTTTTCAAATCACTTTCCATATATTAGCTCTTTTGCTCCTCATAGCAGCTTTGTACATGGGTAACATAGTTATCTCTACTTTTTTTGTGTGGGGGGGTGGAAGCTGGTGCTCTGCCTCCAAAGCCAGTACTCCTTCCAATGTAGCTGGCAGATCTTTTCCACTCCAAGTGGAAGAAGCATCCCAAAGAAATTCCATGACTTGTTCATGATTATCCGGCTAGTAAGTGTCAGGGATGGGATTTGAACTTAGGTCCTTCCTGCCTCGAAGTCCAACACTCTTTCCTTTCCCTTTCTACTCTTTCTAATATTTGGCCACCCATTTCACAGAACTGAAAGAAAAGTGCTTTATAAACCAGAAAGTGTGACATAGGTGTGACATGCTATTATTACTTGTATGATTTGGGGCAAGTCTTTTGATCTCTCTGACTCGGGCTCCCCATCTGCCGAAGGAAGGATTAAGTCAGAACTGAGCTATGGGCTCTCCAGCCCAGACTCTATGGGTGCACACAAGTCAGTGAATTCAAATATGGCAACCTTTGTTCTGAAGGTGGCACCCTAGGCTGTGGAGCTGAGATGAACTTGGAGTTCTTCTAATCCATTCCCATATTTTACAAATGGCAGAATCAGCAACATGGCCAAGGTCACACAGGCAGTGTTCAAAATGGGATTTGAGCCTACGTTCTTGACTCTAGAGCAAGGGCTATCTATACTGCCTCTTGGGAGTCCTCCAGTCCTAAATAGGATCATAGAATCTCAGAAGAGGAAAGGACTGAAGTGATTTTCTAGTCCAATCAGTACCTGGACAGGAATCTCTTTGGTCAGTGGTCCCCCAGCTTTCTCACTACAAGTGGAGAGGCTCATCACCAGTAGGTCAGCCCCCTAGATGATGAGTAACTATCGTGACCCATGATCATGCCAGAATTCTGTTCCCCAAATCTTTGGTACCAACCTTGTTATCTAAAGTATAAACTCCTTATCTTGACGTTTGAGGCCCCCTCTAACTCTAGATTATTTTACCTCATACTGTTGTCCTTCATAAACTCTGCATCTAGCTAAACTGTGAACCCCAGCTGTTAAGTAAATACAAGGTATCATAAGTGTTAGAGGAAGCTACAAGGCTAGTCTTAGAGTTATGATGACCTGGGTTTAAATCTCCCCCCCCCCCCCCACTTAATAGCTATATGATCCTGGGCTAGTCACTTAACCCTGTAAGTTTCTGTTTCCTCATCTGCAAGCTTCCAATCTACCTTGCAAGATTGTGAAGATCAAAGGAGATGTTGTCCATAAAACGTTTTACAAATCTTAAGGTGACATAGAAATGGCAGCTATTATTATCTCATCCTGATCCATTTTGGTGGAGTGACTTCACACCCTGGAACACTCCACACAGTCACTTCCATGTTGTTAGTGTGAATAATAATTTTAGTGTTTCTGGTCCTTTGACTCTGTTGCCATTCAATCACTCAGCAAACTAGTGAAATCCTTTGCCTAATCAAGGGAGGAGGATCTTAGCACAACAGATTTAGAAATAGAAGGAATCTGAGAGGAGGTTTCCTGCCCTAGGATGCTCCCATTGCATCAAAACTCAGAATTATTAAGCCCCACTACCCAGGTCATTTCCAGAGATCTTAGAAAGCTCCTGTTTCCCAATTCATCCTCATCCATGGCCCTAGACAGCCCAGGGTTCCACTGATATAACTATTTTTATGTTAGGCAGTCTGCTCACAAGGGCAGGCAGTGCTCCTGCCCTCAGGAGCATACTATTTACCAAGACAAGATGGAATGGGGTTCAGGAAAGGACTATTGGCTATTGATTTGCCTCAATCCAGACCAGTTATCTTCTTTTTCCTTAATGAGGAAGAAAGCTGAGCTTGTAACGTGGTGAGACATGGAAAACTCCAACAGCAATAGTGGTGGTATCAATTTCCTTTGAATCCACAAGAGCCTCAGGGGTACATTTCTGAGCAATGGCAGTCAAGAACAGCAATAACTCCATCTGAGCCAGGTCTTTTCCCAAGCAGATCTGTTTTTCTGCAAAAAACCAAGATTATGCTTAGAGATCTTCTACTTGGGCTAGAAGTTACATAGCTTGGTTCAGGTCTCTCTGGGGCTCTTCCCTCCTGTGATCTATGCCATACCAGCCATGAGTCAACTCCTCTCTATGCCTAGGACAATGGGGTAGGGAAGGATCTGGGGTATGGAGGGAGTCTAGATTCTCCTGGTCCCTTGAAATTGCTCTCTGAAGCACCTCTGACCTTACATAAGAACTGCTGTCTGAACTGGACATCCTGGTCACTTCATGTGGCAGTCTAGAAGAAACCAGTTCAATATATTTCTGTATCTCATGCACCACAGCATCCACATAGGGCATGTTTGGTTTGTCCTCCATGGATAGAATTCAGTTCCATCCAATCACTTGCCCAATTTTTTCATGGATTTTGCCAGTGGAGAAATGAATGGAATTAATGATGTGCTACCTAGGCTATTGGGAATTCCCAGCTGAGTCCCTGGGGGAGAAGTGGCAGACATTGGCTGGATACAATTCCCAAGAGACTAACATGCTTCATCTCAGTCTCATGCTCATCCAAGGATAGAAAGAAAACCTCTTTTGCTCATGGACAGGACCAAGTATGATATTTTCGCTTTTAGACATTTAGATTACAAGTAGGGTCTCTATTCTCTGATTTTCTTATAAATGTTTGTGGGGCCTAAAAGCCTACTTTGATATTTCGTCATGGTGTGGAGGCCCACAAGCCAGCAATCATTTATTAAGGTGTCAGGGACTGTATTAACCACTGGGGACACAAAGAAAGGCAAAAGCACAATCCTTGCTCTCCAGGAATTTCCATTCTAATGGGAGAGACATCATGAAAACAGCCATGTACAAACATGACACACAGGACAGAGTAGGGGTGATATCAGACTGAAGGGGCATTGATATTCTTGAGGAGGTAGGATTTCAGGTGAAGCCTGAAGAAAACTAAAGAAGCAAAGAGGCAGGAATGAGGAGGAAGAGCATTCCACACATGGGAAACAGCCAGTCAACATGCTCCCAGTCAGGAGATGGAGTGTCTTGTGTGGGGAACAACATGGAGGCCAGAGTCATTGGATTATACAAGATGACCCCTATGGTTTCTTCTGATGCTTCTCTTCAGTGGTTACATTAGGAAGAAGGTGCTAAGCATTTATTAAACACCCCCATGCACAGCAGACTGTACTCTCAAAAAGGATTCTATTCTATTGAGGAAGATGAAATACAAGTCAGGTCCAAAAGAAAAAATAAAGTACCGCATGAGGTTTGAGGATGAAGGTCATTAGTAACCAGAGGGACTTGAGGCTTTATGAAGGAAGTAGAATTTGAACTGGGCTTTAAAAGATGGTTAAGAATTCCTCCTCTATAACAGGAGAAACTTGATTGGATCTCTAAATTCCTGGGATTCTGATTGTGAAATATTCATTGGTCCTAGAGGGTGTTTAGCACACCAATGGCACCTATTATCTATCATGCTAATTTTCAATCACATTAATAAAGTCTTTTGGTCATGGGAGCTGATAATAACAATATCTAGCATTTTGGTACTAAACATATACAACAACAACAATAATATCTAGCACTTTAAGGTTGTGAGGCATTTTGTATACACTGTCTTAACTGATCCTCACATCAATCCTGGGAGGGAGGTGTTATTATTAGGCCCATTTTACAGTTGAGAAATCCAAGACTCAGAGAGGCTAAGAGACTTGTCCAAGGTCATCCAGCTAGTAAGTGTCTCAGGTAGGATTTGAACTCAGCTCTTTCTGACTGTCAGGAACTCTAGTCTGCCACCTAACTTCCATGAAAAAAAAAAAGCTGAGCTCCATGCATATATCAGAACTGATAGGTAAGCTCATTGCACTTTCTATCTTCAGGTGTTTCAGGAGCAGCAGGAACCCAAATCTGAGACTGCCTCTCCTCAAGTACCAAATAAATTGAATCCACTAAGTTTTCCAGGTCAGATGGAGACTGGGGATTCTATTCCTCCTGCATATGGGAGAATTATAGAACAGAAGATTTTAGAAGCTGACATGTATCCCTGCAGAAACTTCATAACACCTGGTCTCAGCCAGGAGGTCCAGGCTAGATAGAGCACCAGAGTGAGAAAGACCTGAGTTCAAATCCAGCCTCAGACATTTTTCAGCTATGTGACCCTGGGCAGGTCATTTAACTTCTGTTTGCCTCAGTTTCCTCAAATTTAAGATGAGGACTATAATAGCACCTATCTCCCAGAGTCATGAGGATCAAATGTGATAGCCATGCCTGGTACATTGTAGATGCTATATAAATGTTAGCTGTTAGCTTTCAGCTTTCTCTGAGAATATTATTGTTGAATAATACAATAATG